TTGACCATAGATAGATGGGTTGATCTCTGGATTCTCAATTCGATTCCATTGATCTATGTGTCTGTCATTGTACCAGTACCATGCTGTCTTTACCAAAATGCTTCATCTTAACTGATTTAATAGGTCACAAAGTAAAGAATAAATTAGAATCCGTGGTAGTAGATAGATATGTAAGCAGAACAAATGTAGAAAAAGACGACAGTCATGGGTGTATCTAGATTTGGCAAAATATATTTCTCCATGTGTATTTGTCTGTGCTACAAATATATCCACGTATACAATAGAGCTGGGGCTTTGGGCGTACAGCTCACAGTCTTTTGCACTGCTGACCAAAATTCTGTGCATCTCCACCAGCGGCTCCCTGGGAGAACCCTGGGTCGTCCCCTCTCATTAAGATTCAGAGTCTCAGAAACTGTATTATATAATATATATTATACAATATACCGTGGGCAAAGTTACGAAAACTTAGTAGTCACAACCAAACACCTTGAGGGAGGAAAAAAGTTTTAATAGATCTAGAAGGCACTTAGCATTGTGCTAATCATGAATACCCAATTCATTTATTCTGTCAACACTTATTAAGCGTCTATTGTGAGCCAGAAATCAGGGGTACAGAAATGAATGCCACACACCTCCTGCCAAAGAAGGCCTCGGTGGCGCATTGGTGGATGGTGTTACTAGTTGCTGCTGCATCAATTCCTGTTCACGGTGACCTCATATGTGCAAACTGCTCTGTTATCCGAAGCTGTGACCTTTCCCAGATCAGACACATGTGACTAAACAATGACTTCGGTGACTGCATGGAGTAGTCACTAGACTTTGAATAACTTGGGATCAGGGGTAGTATCTTGGTCGCTTGCAGCCCTACTATGCTCACTGCCTTGCACAAGGCAAGGACTCAGTAAAGAAACTTTCCTGGGGGGAAAATCAGTAGTTCTGGTGTCCTCAGAGTGACTGATGCAAGCTGGGTCAGAGGGGACCCAGTGTTGGAAGAGACAGTGGCTGAGCTGGATGTTAAGACTCTGTGTCACACACACAAAAAAAGGACTCTGTGTCACCACAACAAGATAAACAACCCAGTTGAAAAATGGGTCCTGGATAAGAATGCACTGGAGGGGATGGGTGGGCAGGGGGAAAAGTGCAACAGTGAATGAATGGAAATCCAAAATCTCTGTAAATAATCATTAAAATTAATAATAATAATAATAAAACGGGGAAAAAAAGACTCTGTGTCCATTTCCCATCAGATGTCGGCACTGGGGTTGTATTGTTTGTAAGAAGGCATCTTTGGGCTGTTGGTAGACCCTTCTGCATATGGTCCCTCTGAGACGTGGCTAGCAGTAAGCAAGGTACAACATGCACCTTGTTTGCTAGACAGCTTGTATATCTGCTGTGAAGTTTAGCTTGTGACGTGCATGATTTTTATCAGTTGGCAAGTCAAACATAAAGACAGAAGTGAAAATGATGGCTGTTCATGACCCTTTGTGTTATCTAAAGAGATACAAAGCGCTTCCCCAGAGTGGTTCTGCCTCTAATTAAAGCATGATTTTCCTGTGTTTGTGAACAAATCCTTTTCTGTTATTTAGTCTCTCAACTCATTTTTCCTTCTCATAGGATGTACTGAAGGCCCAGTTGACCTGGTCTTTGTGATTGATGGGTCCAAGAGCCTTGGAGAAGATAATTTTGAGATTGTGAAGCAGTTTGTCATCGGAATTATAGATTCCCTGGCAGTTTCCCCCAAAGCCGCTCGTGTGGGGCTGCTCCAGTATTCGACGCAGGTTCGCACAGAGTTCACCCTGAAAACCTTCAGCTCGGCCAGGGACATGAAGAAAGCCGTGGCCCACATGAAGTACATGGGCAAGGGCTCTATGACGGGGCTGGCCCTCAAACACATGTTTGAGAGGAGTTTCACCCAAGTAGAAGGGGCCAGACCTCTGTCCACCCGAGTGCCCCGAGTGGCCATCGTGTTCACCGACGGGCGTGCTCAAGACGATGTCTCCGAGTGGGCCAGCAAAGCCAAGGCCAATGGTAATATGGGATGGAGGTGTGGTTGACATCACTCGAGGGGCCAGGCCTTTAACTACACTCCCTCAGAGGCCTTGGATGGCCAGCAGGGTGAAGAAAGGCTTCCTGTCAGTCAGCATTCTGCACCTTTACTAACCTGCCACCCAGAGACCTCAACAGGTCCCCACAAGAGTTAAATAAAGCTGCTCTCGGGAAGGATAAGGAAGTGTCAGACTCAGACCACTCCTGTCTGCTGGGATTCGGCAGCCAGTGGAGAGAATCGACCCTGCTTACGCTATTGAGCCACAGATAAATGTACCCCCAACCTTTCCCAAACACGGGTCACGATTAGAGTTATCCCTGGTGGGACCTTCTACTGCTGCTCCGAAACAAAACCACTAACCCTTCAACTGAAATTGAAAGCATAATGAGCCTTGGGGTAGAAATAATCTTGCATTTGTAGGAGGGAAATTTGGCTTTTAAGAAAAATTGCCATTTTGGAAGATGAAATGATTCTAAGGTCTGTGCCTCAGTAAAGCTCAGCTTCTTCTCTGAAGGGCTCTGAGCCCACGTGCAGTGCAGGCAGAGGCCTGACAGGGCGCTTTACTGGTGGAGATCTAAACCGTGGGGATGAGTAAAGCCTTGGCAAACTGGAAGCCAGATAGCAGAGGCAGCATATGATGATGCCACTGGATGCCTCTGGCAGATGAGAAAACATGAGGTTGTAAAGCAATCTGTTTGAAAGACACTTTAAGTGTTTGTGCAGGGAGAACAGTGCTTTATCAGATCCTCTAAGGAGAAAGGAATCCCCGGAAGTACAATTAGTGGGTTTGACTGTTAACCAAATGTTTGGAAGTTCAATCCACCCAGAGGTGCCCTGGAAGAAAGGATTGATTTACTGAGAAATCGGTCACTGAAAACTGCAGGGTGCACAGTTCCTCTCTGACACACAGGGTGTTGTTATGAGGTGAAACAGACTGGATGGCAGCTGGTTTTATAAGGGGAGATAGGTATGCACAGATCAGGGACTTGTTGAAGACTTTATAAACTCAGGCTTGCATCAGGCCTGGAACATAGAAGGTGCCTGGCAAAGACTTGTTGAGTGCATGAACAAAGGCATGAAGTACTAACAATCCCATTGATGAATCCCCTGCCTCAACACAGAAAGACTGACTCACACTGACTGTATCTTTGTGAAAGAGGTCATTTGACTAGTATAAGTATGAATATGACTATGAGTATTAGTATTCAGTTCTCACCGTCCACTTCTTTTTTCCTAGTTCAAGAGAATGGTAGTCACAAAAAGTTTACTGTCCTGAATAATTTGATTGGACTATAAATCAGCTTATGTCCAATTCCTCTACTTCTAGTCCAGATCAACTTTGCTGGAGTTACAGCAACTCCGTAAACTCCTCTCTAATCTGCATTCCTAAAAGATAGTGCTCGCTGTGTCTTGGACCCCGAAGATCATGGTTAGCTTGCTTATTTGTCTCATGAAGATCAATCCACTTTTCCCTTTCCTTCATTCAAACTTCCAAAGATAACCCAAAGGTAGGAGAAATAGATTTGGTTCTTGAATCAAGATTCAGCTGAAATTCCTCTAATGAATTTAATTACTCCTCGGTATAGCGAACACCATATTTATCCTTTTTAGGAAGTTGTATCTAAAACCACTGGGTTCCCAGACAACTATGCCAAAATTGCCTCTTGGCCTTTCAGACTTAAAACAAGACATTAATTTTTGTTCTTTGGGGTAATTTTTATGTCTTTTTTTAAAAAAAATCTAGTCTGATGAACTAGCCAGAATAAGAGATCAGTGCTGAAAAATGTTGGCAGTCAAGCAGAATTTAAACTCTCACAGTGTTTTACTTTCAAATGAGTTTGGGTGGGGAGAAGTGAATTATTAATTATGTTTGGGAAAAGCCTTTAGGACAATCTCATATTCCCTTTGAAATCTATGGTAGATACTTTGGCTTTGTCTGTTTTGATGAATTCCAGTGAGCAGATTCTCCATTTCAGCTGTGCACGTCCTCACAAGGCTGTCTTTCTAAGAGGTGTAGGTAGACTGTAGCATCACTTGACTCCCAGTCAACTCAAATCTCCTGTACTGCATCTTTGAGAAGCAGAAAGCTAGTAGAAACCATAAATAAAGTTATTTGAGCCTAGAAGAGATTCCCATATGGTAAGTCATAAGGTTATTAATTCAGAAGGCAATTTCAGGGTAAAGTTGAACATTCAATGGTCCTGCTCAGAACTGAGGAACAGGTTGGTGGTTTAGTTCCTCAGCCCTCCAAGGGGCCTCACCTACCCCAGTCTTCAATCTTTCCCTTTTGCACAAAGAACCATAATTAAAAAGTTGGAAAAATGAAAAGAGATGTTGACATTGACTCCTCAGACCATACCACTCAGCTAACTGGCTTTAAGTACAATTCACACAACTTCCAGCCTTGGAACCACAGTTCTAACACCTTGTTCTTCATTTGTTCTGCACTTTAGGTATAACCATGTATGCGGTTGGGGTAGGGAAGGCCATCGAGGAGGAACTGCAGGAGATTGCCTCTGAGCCCACAGACAAGCATCTCTTCTACGCTGAAGACTTCAGCACGATGGGCGAGATAAGTGAAAAAGTAAAGAAAGGCATATGTGAAGGTACTACTAATTGTATCCAGGAGATACTTTAGCAACAAAAGTGCAGCATGAATCTTTGAACAATAAATTCTCAACCTGTTCTTTCAAAGTACTCAAGAAAGTGCCTCCTTGTGGCTTCTTATTGTGTGCCCTGGAGTCAGAACCAACTCACAGCTCACCTTCCAGAGTTTTCAGAGATTATCCATTTATCTATCCTCCCATGGAGGATGGTGGACTTGAACCAGTTGTCTTTGAGATTGCAGTACAGCTTCTAACCACTAGGCCATCAGAGCTCCCTCCTGGGTGAGCCGTTGTTGTTGTTGTTACGTACTGCTGAGTCAGAACTGAACCATAGCTGACCCTCAAGCGGGTTTTCAGAGGCAGTTAATCACACAGGAGGAGACTGTCCATCTTTCTCTCGTGGAGCCGCTGGTGGATTTGAACTGTGTGCCTTTGGGATTGCAACACAGCCACCAGAGTAGGCTACACTAGTGTAGTTGGAAACACTAAGCAGGAAAAAAAAGGGATCAGAGGAGAGAGGAAGAGCAGTCAAAAAGTAATAGCTGACAATGCTTGAACCCGTGTCCTGTGCCAAGCAGTGTGGTAAGCCTTTCACTTTAAGACCTAGGACTGAATGCTACCATATGCACAGGAATGTGAACAGAGAGTGTGTGTGTGTGTGTGTGTGTGTGTGTGTGTGTGTGTGTGTGTGTAATTTAATTAATATTCACAACCAGTCATTATGTTTTGGTGTATCAATATACGTAGTCCTCTTAAATCCCATAGAAGTGATGTTTTAACTAAAAAGTAGTCATTGTCTACATCGGGAAAGCTGATGCCCAATTTTAGAGTATGTTTGCAATTGGAGTGGAAGAGGTAGTCATCCTCATAAGCCATTGTTACTAACGTAAAAGAATGCCTCATCCAGTTGTGTGAGGACTACAGCTGTTCATAGAACACAAGGTTTCCCTTTAGGTAACTCTGGTGACCTTGTGGTAAGGAGTTGTACTGTCAACTCAAAGGCAGGCAGTTCAAATCCACCAGTTGCTCAGAGGGAGAAAGATGAGCATGTTTTTTCATGCAGTTTACTGCCTCTGAAAACCCACTGAAGGGTCAGCTGTGGGTCTGTCTGCTCAGACTCCATGCTACATACAACAGTCTTCCCTTTAGAACTTAGATTTTTGTTATGGATACAAATTCTGCTTCAGTTCACTACTTCTGTTGGGCTTACTTACATATAGCAGTTCTGCCTAAAGCCCCATTTTTTCCTTTTACTCATTACCTATGTTTAGTCCAATAATGTCCCAGTCTAAGTAATATGTCTTACTCCTCTGAAAGGAGAGAATAAGATGAAGGAAACTGGAGAGGGAAGACTTTTCCTCTTTCATTTCATGTTGAAATGCCCATCATGAAACAACTGCCATTTCACAGCTCTTTCCACTCCCACCTCTTGCCTTGTAGACATACATTTCTGGGGGCATCCTTAAAGTAGGAGACTCACTACAGGGGCCCAGACTTCTCTTCCAGAGAGAACTGCCTGGGAGTGGTCTTGGATTACTGCTGTATCTAAATTTTATTATTTTATTTCATCTGTGATGGTATTAAATCAGATACCCTGGATATCGCAGGTGGGTGAGGAGTTAGCCCAAGGTCAGTTTCCTCAAGGACATCTATGAATGTAATCAACTGTCACCCCTTTTGGTCATTTTTCCTCTCAGCTCTGGAGGACTCGGACGGAAGTCATGACTCCCCAGCAGGAGAAATACCGAAGAGGGTCTACCAGCCAACAGGCACATCTTACAATGCTATCTTTTCAGAACCTTCTGTAGCTGCTGTACGACTTCCCTCCAGACAAAGTTGTAAAGAAGTGAAAGATTTATCTTAACCATTTCCTCAAACAGATAGCACGTAGTTTGCTCAATGCTCTAAGCTGTGTTTGGTAACTAGCATCTCTGCTCATTTCCCAAAGCACAGTGCTATGTACTATGAACCAAGTACCTTATTCTACATTTAACGTGTTTTATTCCCATGACAGTGTTAGCTGGCTTGACTTCAGTTTTCTTTCTCTTTACAGAATCTGAGCCAGTCACCATAAATATCCGAGACCTACTTTCCTGTTCTAATTTTGCAGTGCAACATAGATATCTGTTTGAAGAAGACAATTTTTCACGGTCTGCACAAAAACTTTCCCAGTCGACAAAAGCTGCAGGTAATTCCAAGTAAAATGTTCCCATAAGGTAACTTCAGCGTCTCAGCAAGCTTGGCTGAAAAGGAGGGAGGGAAAGGGGAATTAGGAAATAGGCTATAAGAGAAACAAGTGAAATGAGATCTGAAGTAATAAACTCGAAGAAACCGAGTAGTCTCCCCTCGATCCACAGTAAAGGCCACTCCCAATGTTGGAAGCAAACACAGCCCTTTCCTGGTATTTACGGGATCTGTTTGTATGGAAAAAGCTGACCATTTCTTTCATTATGGTTTCCTCTATATGCTGATTCAGTCCACTACTATGTGTCTGGAAAGTCTGGTGACGTATAGAGATGAACCCTTTCCATCTGCTTTCTCAGGAAACCCTTTGGAAGAAAAACACGATCAATGCAAATGTGAAAACCTTATAACGTTCCAGAACCTTGCAAATGAAGAAGTAAGGAAATTAACACAGCGCTATATCCTTTTTCTAATATGACCCATCTGTGTGGAATGCAGAGTGTATTATCAAAATTTGCAGATACCAAAAAAAAAAAAAACACCAAAATTTGCAGATACCATGTGGGTATATAAAAAAGTCGTTTCCATAAAGTCAAGAAGAGTGGATTCCAGAAGGCTTTTTCAATTTTTTTTTTAAAGGCAGCTTGTCACAGCAAAGTGTCATGGATCACACATTCATGGGCTACTTGGTGTTGCTGGGTTTTGTTAGTTAAGCAGCCCAGCTAGGCAGAGTAAGCATGCAAAGTAAATGGAAAAAAAACCCAGATTTATTTAGTCCCCTTTCTGTTAAGGGCACATCTACAGGTCTGAAACACATCAAAGATACAGTATATACAAGCAAATAATGTAGAATGAAGCTGTTTTAAACTCATACTAAGAGCCAAGCCCCAGGCAGCACTGCAGTCACCTTAGGAATTTGTGGGTCATTTCCGGAGGACTGTTTTTTTAATTTCCTTTGGCAGCTTAGATCTTTTATATCAGCACTCTAAAAAATGAAATCCTAGAAGTAGTAGGAGGGAACCGAGGGAACAGTCAGATCCAATGATTCATTAAAACAGTATTACAAGGGAGCTCTGGTGGCCTAGCTGCAATCCTGAAAGCACGTGGTTCAAATCCACCACGTTTCACTGTAGAAGGAGGGGCAATTGCCTCCTGTGCCAGTCGGATCTGACTCGACGGTACAGAACATGAAAAATAAAAACAAAAATCCCCATTATTACAAATAAAAGGAATGCTTTGGGATGAGGAGAAATAGGATTCGTTACTTTTACACATTGAACACCCTGCCAACTGCTCTGAAGTTAAAATTACGAAAACCGGCTAATAGCTAGCTCAGTTTGCACTTAACTAGTCTATAGGGAAATGGTTTCTGAGCCTCCTCTCTGCCAATGGGTTTACATAATGAGGAAAAGAGCATATACAATTCCTTTTCTGAAGTTGGAAATATAATCCCCTAATAGGGTTACAATGAGTTGGAGCTGACTCAGTGGCACCTAACAACCGCAAGGTAAAAGAAAGATGCCCTGGTGGTACAGTGGTAGAGTACTTGGCTACTAACCAAAAGGTCAACAGTTCAAACCCACCTGCCATTCCACGGGAGGAAAAAAGAAATATGGCAGTGGCTTTGGTAAAGATTGACAGTTTTGGAAACATTACAGGGCAGTTCTATTCTGTCCTACTTTGTTGCCATAAATCAGAATCAACATCAAGGTGTTGGCTTGGATTTTTAAAAGTACAATTAAATAATCTTTCTTACAGTGATTAATGGAAAGAATCTGAGCTCTCTTGTTGTTACCAAGGAAGCAGAGGGTATTCAGTCTAGAGAGAGGAACAGAAAGGTTCATTCTTGCCACTAGGCCACCAGAGATCTCTTTCCCATGAAAGGTTCATTCTTGTGCCTTCATCTCCCAATCCCATCAATACCTCTGCAGGCCATGTCTGCTTCTCAGAGCCACTCCCGAGAAAGTAAAGGCCATAAAAAAAAATAAGCAGAGGTCAGAAATCAAGGCCCAACCTAGTCCTGTTTCCCTTCTTCACTTGGGACTTCATCTCTCCTTTCAAGGCTTAGTCCTTCCTTTATTTCATATTCCCAGACTTAACAATTCAGGCTCTTGGAGGTGTGTTGTGCCAAACTAATACACAAGCAAATAGGGTTGTGTAGTGGAATGAAGTGTAACAATTCAAACGGGGCCAAGCAATTTGGGTTTTGAATGCTAATAAAGTACTTAACCTGAAATAAAGTGTTGTTAACATGTGTTAAATTCATTAACTGTAGAAGTCAGGGTTTTTCAAGAACTTGATTGAAACAAGTTAAGCCTGTTCTTTGTCAACAAATTCTTATGTAGACAAATTTGCTTGCATTTAAATATCTGTAAACATGGGCAAGTTTGCTTTTTCTTCCTTAATTTGAGATTTACTAGAAGAAATGACGCAGAGAATGGAAGTCCTGGAAAATCGCCTGAGATACAGATAGAAGATTAGGAATGGCCAGCATATTTGTACATGACGTTGCCTCAAGGATCACCAGGAAGTCACTCAGAGCCCACAGCTGAGGCTATCCATCTGTCTGTAATGTTGTGAATATAGCAGTTAGTACTAAGAAAAGCTGGTTTGATAGAATGAAGATAAGGAGATGTTATTTGTATAAATTTATTTAGGAAAAAAATCTTTGATTTCTAAAATGAGTTCGCCAATGGAGAATAAATAAGCTATGCAAGGTATTTTGTAATATACTGTGGACCTGATTTGCTTCTGCCCCTTCCTGCCTTAGAGTGTTGCAATCTCATCTGACTCCAAAATAAAGCCTGCACAGTCTTACTTCTGTAGAACCCTGACCACAGGAAAAGCTATTTTTTTGTATTGGACTTTATCTTGATATATGTATATGGATGTATACGTAAAATTGTACAACCTATGAACTTATATAACAAATCCGATTTTTTTAAATATACTGCATTAAAATTCACCACTTCAGAAAAAGATATTCTATGGGGAAAATTCTTAGCTCAACTTTAAAAGCAAGATGTATATAAGACATGACTTACACACATATGAAATGATGCCAAATCTCACTGGCATTGTGGGCAATACCATCTATCACTCATCAGTTTAGGAAAAAATAGTAATTTTATTGATGTTAAAAATGTGGAAATCAAAAGAAGAAAAAAAGAATGTGTAAATCAGTAGTCTCTTTAGAAAATCAGCTGATACCTGCACCTATGAAAATTAGAAATATATGGCTTTTTAACTCTTAAGAGCTACACTTATGGAAATCTGACTAGGAAACATCAGCACATATGTAGGAGGATACCTGTTTGAGAATTTAATAGTGTGTGCACAAGCAACAAATCAGAAACAACCTAAACACCATCAAAACTGATCAAATCAGAGTATTCCATAACACAGAAATAATCTACATTTAAAAGAATGCATTAAATCTATGTGTATATGGTAGAACTCATAGATGGATTTAAAAAGTTGCTGTGAATACACTATGTTCACCATTATTCCTGTACATTTAAAAAAAAACACAAACATTGCTAGAAATTGTTCAGAGATACATAATATTTACGTAAAAGAAATGTTCTCTAAGAATACACCCCAAAATAGTTGTTGTTCTTGGAAAAGCATGAATACAAGGTCAAAGAGGATATCAACTCTATCATTAAAGGTGTTTCTTCAAGGAAACATGAAAAATACATTAGTATATGTGAAGCTAAATTAGCTGAGGGATGCACTTTCAGCAGCAAAACACACCACCGCCAGTACCTTCAATAAGGCATGACATGAAGAGATGCACAATGACGTCCTTCCATGGAAGCCATCACTATTTTGGGGTCTAAATGATGCTTTACAGCAAACACTAAGTTTGAAGCTGTTTTAAGTATTTCAAGACACACATTTCCATCAGAACACTTCCTGAAAGGTAATGTGATAGATTGGAAGAACATCTCTTAAGACTGTTCAATTTCATCTGAAAAATCTTCCCATTCTTTGCCTAGGATATGAGTGTTGTGATTTTAAAAGTAAATTTTTAGTCTTTTTAAACTCATGTGACCTACTTTTCTACACATATTGTTATTAGGTACCATGGAGTTGAGTAGAACTCATAGCAATCCTATGAACAGCCAACCTGAACCCTACCCCATCCTGTGCCATCCTCATCATCTCTGAGACACAAGAGCTCATTTTTGAAGTCACTATGTCAGTCTCCTTGGGGGGTCTTCTCCTTCTCTGACCCTCCGTATTTCCAAGCATGATATCCCTTTCCAAGGAATAGCTTCATCCTTTCCTCTAAGGAACACTCCAGACTGTACTTTCCCCAAAACTTGTTTGTTCTTTTGGCAGACTATGCGATTATTCAGTACTCTTCTCCAGCACCATAACTCAAAGGCATCAATTCTTCTGTCATTCTTATTCATTGTCCAGCTCTCTAATACACAGTAGGTAGTATTTAAAGCATTGGCTTTTTAATATTTCATTATCGTCCAGGTAGGTGTAGAGAGCTCTGGTGGCCTAGTGTTAAGAAGCTGCAATCCCAAAAACACATAGTTCAAATCCACCAGTTGCTTTGAGGGGAAATTATGAGCAGTCTCCTCCTGTGTGATTTACTGCCTCTTAAAACCTGCTGAAGGCCACGCCAGTCAGCGTCAACACAAGGAAGTTTCCAGAGCTTTCGAGAACCTTGTGACCCGGATTCATCCGCCTGGTCAAAATGCCTCTTTGTAAAGACCCTAACTGGCAAGACCATCACTCCGGAGGTGGAACCCAGCGATACCATTGAGAATGTAAAAGCCAAGATCCAGGAGAAGGAGGGCATCCCCCCGACCAGGATGCACTCTGACTACAACATCCAGAGTCAACTCTGCACCTTGTCCTTCGTCTGAGGGGCGGCTGTTAATTATTAAAAGTGCCCAATGATGGCATTACTCTGCACTATAGCCTTTTCTCTCAATTTAAGTTTCGAAATTACCAGTTTCAGTAATCACTGAATCTGTTCAAAATGTTAATAGGTTTTGTTGCATGGTGAAAAAAAAACAAAACACCAACGTGCTGAAGGGTCAGCTGTGTGTCGGTTCAAACTTCACAGTATCTAACACCAGGCGTGTGAACACCTTAATGCAAGCAAATTCTACTTAATGTTATGTTCAGGGTCCCTCTAGTGGCTGAAAAAAGTCTCCAATCCATCCATCAAAAAGCTCTAGATTAATCCAACACTTGACGGGAGGACTGTATAAAAATTTTAAAGAATTCTCCCCCCCACCCCTGATCTGTAATATCTGGCAAATGGGGTTTAAACTCCAGTTTAATTTATGTGACGTTCCTATGCCTTCAGTTCATATTAAAATAGAGTTGGGGAACAGATGGCCTAGTGCTTAGGAAGTTGCACTCCTAACCCAAACGCAGTGGCTCTCGGGGATCTGAATCCTCCACAGCTCCTCAGTACTCAGCAGAGAGGGGCCATCTCCTCATTTACAGCCTCAGAAACCCAGTGCAGGGTCAGCTGATATGGTTCCAACTTGCCAGCAATGAGCATGAGTCTTTTGTTTTGGTTGGCTTTTGTAAAAATGGAGTTAATAGTACTACCTGTGAAGAGTGCATCTGAGCCCAGGTATATTTAGTGGTAAACTGTTCTGCAATCCCAAAAGGCATGCAGTTTGAATCCACCAGTTGCTCTGTAGGAGGATGGGTGATCTCTCCTCAACCTGCTGGCAAGTCAGCTATGGGTCAGTTCTAACTCTGTGTGGCACACGACATATACATGAGAGCTGGACAATACAGATTAAATGTCTTTGAATTGTGGTATTGCCAAAGAACATTAAACGTCTCATTGCCATTGAATCAAACGACTCCTAGCTGATCCTCTATTAGGTTTCTGAGGCTGTAATTCAGAGATGGCTTTCTCTCACAGAGCCACTGGGGAGTTGTAATGGCCAGAAGTGTAGCCCCTCCCCTTTGACTATATAATGGACTTTGCTCAGATACTTTGGGCATGTTATCAGAAGCCAGTTCCTATAGAAAGACATCCATCCTGCTTGGTAGAAAACCAGTGAAAAAGGTGAGCCCTCAATGACATAGACTGACATCAGTCAGCGTAGCATCAGTTGTGAGGATGGTGCAGGATCCATCAGCCTGAGAAACTCAACAACAATGCTACTTCATCAGGTTAAGAGGATTAAATGTGTTAATAGTGCTTAGAAACATTTTAGCTATTTGTATTCTTGAGGAAGCAAGTATGTGAGCAAAAAAGTATGAGTTAAAATGTGAGAATCTCAGTATTTGTTCACCTTACCCGCTCAAAGGACTTTGGCAGATTCCCACTCGCAATCTTTCATCATGTGTACTATCCAGTTGGAGCCAACTCGCAGCTGATTTCCCAAGGCAGTAAGATGCACAGGGGGAAGCTGCCTTTCTCTTCCTCCTGCAGAATAGCTGGTAGATTCAAACTGTCTTTGAGTTGACAGCGATTTAAGGAGGAGGAGGTAGTACTAGTATATGAAGGGTGACCTCTGGTGGCCTAATGTTAAGCTACTGCACTGTAACCCCAAAGGGATATGGTTCGAATCCACCAGGGGTTGGGCAATCTCCCATGTGTCTCTGAAAACCTGCCTGACGTTACTGCACAAGGTGTTCAAGATTTACGATCTTTGGAAAAAACCTAGACTGGATATTTACAGCCTATCAAGAGAATTAAGCCTTTATATCATTGTTCACTTGGTTTCCAACTCTTAATAGGAATTCCTGACCTCTAGGTCAGTAGGATTACCACCCTGAAAAAGCATTAGGTGGTTAACTCAAACACCTAATCTAGACAAGGATGTTAGGGTTGTCCTCAAAACAAGGAGAGGTAAGCCTTGGGCTGAAAACCTGGCAGGTTCTAGGTGTTGTGAAAACCACAGAACCTAGATAAGTGATGCCACTGAGAGGAAGGTATTCATGAGAAAAGGTCTGTATCAAAGAATTTATGACAGAGAAGACTGCAACACCACCAACAAATAAAACCCAAGTGTAAGATCAGTATGGTCAAGTATAAGCCTATACATATTTTAGATACAGAGGTACACATTGACAGAAGTATGCAATTATATGTGATGTCTGAGCAGGTACATATAATATTCATACTATTTATACTTTTCAGACATAACCATATACAGGAGGATCAATTTTCTGAATTATAAACTTAGAAATATTGTCCCACGGGACAATCAGAAAGGCTCACCAAGTTCATACTCTATCCTGGGGGAAAAAGTAGCACCTAGGATTGCCTGGTTTGTTAAATGGTCATCTAAGACACCATTATTGGTCTCTGCTCATCAATAGCCAAATTAAGAACGTAAAAAAAAAAAAAAAAGTCTACAGGCTGACAGCCTGCGTGAGCCAGTGCCACAGAGACCAGAACTGGAGGGTGCCTGGCTGCTATCTTACCTGACAGGGGGTATGAGAGGATCCTGGTTAGAAGAAAAATGCAGACTACAACACAAGTTCTTAAGAATAGCTAAACTAACTGGACTACCTGTTACTAGAGGACTTCCTCAGACAACCACCCTGAAAACATTCTGTAAAACTTGAGCCAGAACACACACTATGAATATTACTTTTTAACAGCAGTTACACAAAATGAGTATTACCCACAAGATAAAATCCAAAACCATTGTTGTCAAGTCAGTTCCAACTCCATCAATCCCCCACCGAGTTTTTGAGGCTGTAAGCCTCTATGGTAGAGGATGCCCATCTTTCTAACTTGCCAACTCCATGACCGGGAGCTCTGGTGGCCTAGTGGCAAGAAGCTGCACTGCAATCCCAGAGGTGCATGGTTTGAACCCACCAGATGCTTTGCTGGGGAATGAAGGACAATCTCCTGTACCAGTCAGATCTAATTTGACAGTACACACACACACAAAAATAAAATTTTTAAAAAAACAAACCAAACCTCCATGACCAGGGGTCTTTCACCCCAACATCAGTACTGCAAAGTAAACACTTGCTTTTCTAGGTAGCATACTGAATGCATTCTAATTTTCTGTCTCAATCACCCACCATCAAAAGTTGAAACGAATTGATTCTAGTAGTCAAAAGCCTTTAACCTTTCTTTATCCAAAACACTTGGATTGAACAGCCCCGTGCATTTCCACCTACTATGTAAATCATAGTAGCCTACAATATGGATTGAGGCTCAATGTCAAGAAGACAAAGATTCTCACCACTGGACCAATTGGCAGCATCAGGATGGATGGTGAAGAGATTGAGATTGTACACAGCTTTAGTTTGCTTGGCTCCATAGTCTTGGCGCCAGCAGCCAGGAAATTAAAAGGCGCATTGCCATGGGAAAGTCTGCTGTTACGGACCTCTCCAAAGTGCTGAAGAGCAGTGGTGTCTCTCTGGAGACTAAGGTGCGTCTGATACAGGCCATGGTCTTCGCAATCACCTGTTATGCATCAGAGAGTAGGACAATGACCAAATAGATCTGTCCTGGAGAGGGTTAAACCGGGTGGCTCCTTGGAGGCAAGGATTCTGAGGCTCCGTCTTACTTTGGACATGCAGTGAGGAGAGACCGGTCCTTAGAGAGGGACATCATGCTTGGGAGGCTGGAGGGACGGCGCAGGAGAGGAAGGCCCTCTATGAGGTGGATTGATTATTGGGATGGGAGTGTCAGAGACAGTGCGATTGGCACAGGACAGAGCAGAGTTTAGGGCTGTTGTACATAGGGTCGCTATGAGTCACAGGCGACTCGATGGCACATAACAACATGAAAATCAAGAAAGGTAAGTCAACTTTTATGTAACACATTTATTTCTCCCAAAGTTAATTCGTTCAAACATTCCAAGTAATATTAGCATTCATGGGAAAGTACTTCACAAGATATGCTGTTGGATGAAGTATGCAGTTTCTTAAGTCTGAACACTGGCCACACTGCTCAGTAAATCCTAAAGAACTAAAATTCTATAAACACTCCAAGCAACCTTGCATCCAACACCTAAGACCCATGATTATTCTGAAGATGCTCAACTATTTTTTTCACTCCTGTTATGTGCCATCGAGTCATTTGTGACTCATAGCGACCCTATGTACAAGAGCCCTAAATTACGCCGTTCAATCCTGTGCCAACCTTGCTGTCTCACACATTCATTCCCACCACTCCATTCACAGAATTGATCCATCTCATCGAGGGTCTTCCTCTCCAAGGACCAGTCCCTCCTTGCAACATGCCCAAAGTATGTCAGATGAAGCTTCAGAATCCTTGACACCAGGGAACATTCTGGCTTCACCCTCTCCAGGACAAACCTGTTTGTTCTCCTAGCAGTCCATGGTATATTCAACACTCTTCTCCAGCACCACAACCCAAAGGCATCAATTCTCTATCATCCCTATTCACTGTCCAACTCTCCAATGCATAGCACGTAATTGCAAATACTATAGCCTGGATCAGGCGCACGAGGACCTAATCTTTCAAGTTTCTTATTTATTAACATGTTGGTTTTTGTGCTGTTGAGTCGTTTGCAACTCATAGCGACCCTATGTACAGCAGCCCTAAACCGTGCTCTATCCTGTGCCAATTGCATTGCCTCTGACACACCCATCACTGAATCAATCCACCTCATAGAGGGTCTTCCCCTCCTGCACTGTCCCTCTACTCTATCTACCCAGCATGATGTCCCTCTCTAAAGACCTGGCTCTCCTTACATGTCCGAAGTATGTAAGATGAAGCCCCAGAATCCTTGCCTCTAAGGAGCAGCCTGGTTTAACCCTCTCTAGGATGAATCTGTTTGTTTTCTTGGCAGTCCTTGGGTACATTCAATACTTCTCCAGCACCACAGTTCAAAGGCGTCAATTCTTCTCCTATCCTCCCTAGTCATTGTCCAACTCTCTGATGCATAACAAGTGATTGCAAAAACCATGGCCTGTATCAGGCACACCCTAGTCTCCAGAGACACCACTGCTCTTGAGTACTTTAGAGAGGTCCCTAACTGCAGACTTTCCCATCGCAATACATTTTTTGATTTCCTGGCTACTGGTGCCAAGAGTGTTGACCGTGGAGCCGAGCAAACTGAAGCTGTGAACAATCTCAATCTCTTCGCCATCCATCCTGATGCTACCGATTGGTCCAGTAGTGAGAATTTTTGTCTTCTTGACATTGAGCCTCAGTCCATATTGAAGGCTGCAGTCCTTGACCCTCTGCAGTAAGTGCATGAGGTCCTCCTCAGTTTCAGCGAGCAGGGTTGTCATCTGCATAACGCAGATTGTTGATAGATCGTCCACCAATCCTAACGCCATAGAGCCCATACACTAGAATTTTTCTGTTTGTGTAAACCTTTTGAGGGCGAGGAAATAATTTTCTCTTTGCTATTGAGATTTATTGCTTTAAATTGGACTGCAATTCTATTTTGGGTATTGCTTCCTTGAGCATACTCAAATACAAAAATCCAATAATGTCCAGGAATAGCAATTATGAAAATTAAAGCTCTTAAAAGGAAACGGTGCACTCCCTTTACCAAAGTGAAAGAAATTCGAACTGGAATATACAACTTTTAGCCCAAAAGTCTTGTCACCACGTCTGCCGCGCTCTCATTAACACTAACTTCAGAAAAATAACAGAAATGGAATGTATTTCAAAAACAAACTCTGGCCAATTTTATTGAAGAAAAGTATTACATGATTTATTTTTCACCAGTCTGTTCTGGCATGCTTCTAATGATATC